TCAAATAAAAACAATAAATGTATCAAAATCATCTTCATTAATTACGAGATTTAAAAAAAAAATAATAATTGATCTCCGAAAATGGCTTAAACCAAAAAAAAGAAAATAAGAAAGAAAAAAAATCTACCGGTACTAAGAGAAATTAACAAAGCAAAAATAAAAAAACAACTAAAAATAATAAAACTATGAATCAATCAAATAAACAAGGAGAAAAAACAATTTCAAAAAATAATTCTCATACTATTATTGTTATCATATTCGGCTCCGAAGCCATTTAATATGTACGGAGCCACTCCGGGTGCGAATTGTTATTAGTGACCATAGGTACCCGGGTACCTATAGATGCAGCCATACACAAATCGATAACGTAGCTTAAAACTCCAAAACCGCCCAATACAATGGCTGTTCGAAGTGAGGCCCTGGACTTGGCTGTGCTGGAAAACTAAATTAAAAATTAATTATTGTTTGTATGAAAATGAACGAACGACTGTTCACTCGTATCAATTTAGGAAAGGTTGCGTAAGCCTTGCTGATTTGATTTGGGGGGGGGGGTGTTCATTTTAACGATTTCTGTAATACTATAAATAAAAATTAGAGTTTTCTTTCTATAGGAAATTGTTCAATAAAGATATCGGTGCGCCTTTACAAAATGCGCCAGGGGCGAACTCCCAAAAATTGCCCCCACTTTACGCACTCAATGCTATGTATAATAGACCTATGTAAACCGCAAAAGTAGCACACTGGGTACTTTCTGACCCTCCCCCCCCCCTTACCCACCCTAACTTGGCAATTGATTTAATATATCACAAAACAGAAACCAGTGAACTTGTGTCCTCCCCCCCCCCTTTTTTTCAGAGGCGTAGCGAGGGGGGCACGGAGACAGATGTCCCCGGGCGCAAGCTAGTTAGGGGCGCCAAAATGTGCTTTGTTATTATTTTATTGATAAAAATAATGGGTTTGAGAGTTGAAAAAAAAGAAAAGGGGGCGCTTTAAAATGGATCTTGTCCCCGGGTGCCAAACACCCTCGCTACGCCTCTGCCCCCTTTCCACTCCTAATCCTTCTTTATGGCTGCTTCAACACATGGACACACTGGCATCTTTTGTGTCTGTTTTGACCTGCTGCCATTAACCAGCCATTTGATGAAACATCATTCAGGATCTCCTGACTGAAGTAGCTTGAATCTCTACTTTGATTAACTGATGTTTTAATTTGACAATTTAACTCATGTGGCCAAGACTTTGCGCTGTAGCTCGTGTGTCCAAGACTTTGTGCTGTAACTCGTGTGTCCAATTTTTCACGAGTGCTGCATAGAGTTTCAAAAGCCACCACACATTCCCCAAATCCCAAATTTATTGTTAACTGCTTCTACTGCAGCAAGATGACCCCCCCCCCCCCAAGCGTGCCCATAGTCTTTTCATTGACAATCTAGTGTTTTCACGAGTGCTGCATAGAGTTTCAAAAGCCACCACACATTCCCCAAATCCCAAATTTATTGTTAACTGCTTCTACTGCAGCAAGATGACCCCCCCCCCCCAAGCGTGCCCATAGTCTTTTCATTGACAATCTAGTGAGTTCAATTAAAACATAATATCTATGACTACCGGTACTATGAGTGGAAGCAGAAAAAATATCTTTCAAGATTACTAATAACTTTTACACAGACACATTTTAGGCAACATTGAGATTGGAAAAACATTATCTTCAGACCTTCACGTTTACATGTCTTAATTATGTAAGGTTTCAGATCAAGCATCTCCTTCACAGTATTTGCAGGAACATTTATAAACATATTCTGGGTTTTTGGTGCAAGATAAGATACAGATGCTTTTTAAGTCTGGTGGCACGCTTCCCCTGTTTTTAACTTAGATATGTTATGAAACCAAGCATAGCATACCCCCTAGTTGACCTTTGGAAATAAAATAAATTTAAGACAAAGCAGATTCACGTGGGTAATAATAGTAACATTATGAAAAGTATGATGAGTAGTCTCCCCAATAGGCCTACCTGACACACACGAACGCGGCTTTTCAGACCTTGTGATACCTAGTGGTGGACCTTGACTATGTCACCGGGGCGATCTCCCCAAATTGCGCCCCACACCCATCTATATATAATCTTCTTAAAGACAAAAGCAACGATTGCTCCGATGGCACTATCCCCATTTCTCCCCCGTAGTCATAGTTAGCTAATTTGTATTTATTGAATGAGTTATTTCATAATAATAACATGGATGTGAAACATCATGACGTATCAGCATAGTCAGTCTGAAACAATAATCTAAAAATTAGGCCTGGTCAAATAAAAATGACGAAATGGGCTACTGGTACCTCGCGTAATCTGATCTTAAATTTTGGGTTAATTCGACCTCTGTTTTAACTGTTTATTTCAAGATTAAGGTCTCATATTTGTCACAATGTCCGATAGCCACCAAAATTCACCTAAATAGGATTTAGGAACAACGCAACCACAAAAAAACAACAACAATGAATTGAAATTATGGTAGGCCTATTTAAATGTATCACAATTTCCCCAGTAAATTCTAAGTAATTAACATTAATTTATTTGGATCGTTTAGTTTTAGTAAAAAAAAACAACAAAAAAACAAAACAAAAAACCCAGCTGAGCTTAGATTAGATGGGCGTAACATAAACAAACTTTTCCCTACCCCATCGTATTGACACCCGCCAAATATTTTCATCATTTAAATTGTATTTGAATTACCAACAGTACCAGTGAAACTAAATTAAAATATTTTGTCTTTATCTAGCTGGAAAAATATTTTCATTTGAAAGTTTGACATTTGTAGGGCTATAGATCCTAGAGTTGTCACTGGGCAAACTGATCATTTCAAGCCTCATTTTTAGATGTCATTTTACCTGATAGCCCCACAAACTCATAACTCACTAACCAGTTCACATTTTCTCCTCACCCTGTACAAATCTACATCAATTGTAGCGACAAAAATCAGATTAAATCAATCATACCTGAGATGTCCACCCACTCAAACTTCAGCTTATGCAGTAAAAAAATGAAATATTTTATTTCAATTTTTTTTTACACAATGTATCCTTTATTTTGAAAAGTACTATTAGCTAATTCCGGTGGTAATAACACTTCTTGAGTAGATCTTTGTGGATATATGGAGCGCCATCTGAAATTATTATTATATATTATGCACCTTTTCCTGTATTTTACATGTGCAACATGGTTGTTTAGCCCCAACTAATATAAATTATATATTACATAAATCAACTACAAGTGTTAATTGTATCCACACAATCCATAGATATCCATTGCAAATATTCCCCCACCCACCCACACATTACACTTGCATTGCTATGGCATCCCAAAATGTACCAAATATCAGAGATATAAATCACCAAAGTGTAGGGCGGCAAATGCAGATATAAGATTTTGAAACTTTGGGTTTGATAAATTTATCATTTTTATATTAATGACAATGATAAAAAGCATTGACTTCCCTTTGATTAGCATCATAATAGTATTAGACTCATGCAGGGCTGTGTGAAAGGGTGGGACAAAGCTGGCACTCACAATTTGTGCCAACATTATGGGCGCCAAAATCATCTTTAGATAAGATGTTATAGTTATAGTGAATTAAACAATAAAATACCATGTACTTCACAAAAACAAGGGGCAAAAAAATCCAGGGCAGAACTTTTTTCAATTGAGGTACTGAATTTTCAGGCTTCACCCCCAGGGTTACATTTCCTAGACACTGCCCTGGTCTTATGATATATACCGGGTACAAGGAAGAATAGCAAACCATAATACAATGTTAAAATTTTTAATAAAATGTTTATTTATGTAATTAGGTACCCTTAGTATATACATATTCAGGACATATAATGAAACTGTGCTTTTTTTTTACCATAAATCTTACCAGGCATAAGTTAATTGGAAAATAGCTAATAGATAGTATAATAGTGGGGAAATGATACAAATTGCAGGGCCAAGCTATATGGAGAGCTATGGAATAATTAGTAGTTCATAGTTAAATATATATTTTCTCAATTTATTTTATTAGTTAGTTGGGCATCATGTGTGTATTTTTTTTGTTTTTTGTGTATGACCTGTTAATGAAATTTATGAAAATATATTTTATCTGGTCATAATTTGCAAAGTTAGACCTTCACCTTCCTATGCTATCTAACACAAGTAATCCAGGAGAAATAATAAAATATTCAGAATCAATTTTGTTTTCAAACAAGGAAAATAATATAACCAAACTTTCAAAACATGCAGATGTATAACGGTTCTACATGACACAATTTTCAATTTACCCGGTACTTTAAGTTTCAGAAAAAAAACAATTAAAATCAAAACAACCAAAACAATAAAGGTGTATATAAATTTTACCCTTAAAAAGATATTAAAAATAATTATTAATACAAAGTACAAGAAATTTGTTTAATATATCATTTCCTCAATATATTTATATTTTGAAAATTATTAGCAAAAAACGATTTTCCTTACCCTTAGAAAAGAAAAAAATTATCTGGTAAATAACTTTTTAAAACTGCTGGGGAAATGAGGAGATAAGGGGAAGCTCACCACTTAAAAAAAAGGTATGCTTCATGTCATTTAAATATTTCAGTTTTAAATGTATTATGATTGCAAATTCAAATATATATTACAATAACCTAAAATCTTGTCAATGATTTGTGATTCACTGACCTTGAATAATTTAAAATCATTGAGAAATAATACTTTTAAAAATCATCTTATCAGGTTTTCTTGATATTTTCTTGACTACTTTTTTTTTTTATTTGTAAAATATGTTTTTTTACTCCACTATAGTATTAAGATTAATTTATTTTAACCTTATTTCATTACAGTATTTACAGATGCATTAAAATATTTGATAAATATATTATTTTTTCCTGCATTAACGTTAATTGGGGCACTTCGGAGCAAAGAAACATTTTTTTCCTGAATAAAATATCCATCCTAATTATCTGAAGCTATTAAAAACAAAATCAAAAACCTTAAACCAAAGCACACTGTCCCAAATAAGCAACTTTCTTAATTTTTCAAAATATACTGCAATGCATAAACAGTAAAACAAAACACAAATATGAAACTTAAAAGAAAATAACTAGGATAAATATAAGAAATAAAATGAGCATATCTAGTGATGTTATTAATTGTATTATCCTTTGCTACTATAAGAAAATATTTTTTTGTGGTAAAAGTAAGTGTTTATCATTTCTTTTTTTTTTGAAGGACAACTTTCAGTTGATCTGTAAGCCACTCAACACCCTCATGTAAACCATCTCCAGTTAAGGCATTACTTGCACATATAAACCATGGTTTGTTGGAGATAGCCTGTAATTCTAAAAGATGAGAGCACTTTACACTTGAAACTGCATCTCTAGCGTCCATTTTGTTTGCAAAAAATAGAATAGGAATAGTTCTGTTTTTCAGCTCAGGATTTTCCAGTAGCAAATTCAGTTCATCTTTGGCAACAACCATCCGTAACTTATCACTGCTGTCAATTACAAATATAATGCCATCACATTCCTTATAATACTGCTCCCACAAATTTCGGTAACGTCCCTGCCCAGACATGTCAAAAGCTGTGAAGGCAAGAGCTTTTGATTTGAATCTCTCAACACTGAATCCTACAGTTGGGACAATATCATGACTTTTAGCATCTGGGGATTTGAAATGGTTGATAATGGTAGTTTTGCCACTGTTGTCCAGGCCAACTACCATCACATTGACTTCCTTCTTTTTTACGCCTAACCACTGTGCCAATGAATCAAAAAATCCCATGTTGAAATAGAATTATAGTATAGCCTGTAGTAGAAGATATTCTCAGAAGTTTTCGATTTTGAGTTTTAAGAATAGTTTTCTTAGTCAGGCTTGGTTATTTCTGTTATAGTGACAAAATGTATCCTTTTGCAAATAGAACATTACTGTGATTTAATATGGCCGTTGGCCCTTTATGATTATGATTATATTATAAAGGAGGACAAAAATCGCCTCCTGATCACATTTGAATGACACAATTTAGATAAGATTAAACCATTATTGATCAACCAAAACACCAACAACAAATACTTTGAGTTGCTATTTAAATGATATCACTCATTGAAGCATGGTTGGTAACCACAGATAGCAGCAGGCAACCAGAAACAGTCAGTGAATCCTTGACTGTGATCAGTTATTATTTTATTTATAGTGACTATTTTCGATGATCCTAGATTTCAAACAGATTCCTCGTTGAGTTTTAAGTATACCGTGGATTACTTTAATATCCAGATCAAGTAAATAATATTGAGTAAAGTAAGCTTTAAAACCGTTGTTTTTAAAAATTATGTTTAAGATACGGTGACTTGGCCTACAGATTTTAAAAAATTAAGTTTGACTCAGAATGTGAGTTCAATGTCTGGGGCGTCGTACGCAACCATCGTATCTCGGCACAAAAATGTCCCATAAAGCATTGCTTATACTTATAATTTTGGACTGGAAAGAATCGATAGTAAAAATATGAATAGATATAATAAATACTTATATTTCAATAGTTTGAATTTGAAATTAAATATACGTTATATGTTTTTATAAAACTTAAATATAATTAAAGAAAAATAAATGTAAGTGGTTCATATTTCAATATGTTCCAATCCATGAGGGCAACAACTGCACAAAATGGCGACAAAACAATTGATTGAAATCTTACGATATTCCTAAACCATGTTGCAATCATTTAGTAGTTTAAATTAAATGCATTAATTTCAAATCATTCTCAACACTTATTCATAGTTTTAGTTTTTTGGTATTGTTAAAAACATTGCATGTGCAACAGCGAAATTGTTGTTTTAAGATTGAATCGACTCACCTGGACTTGGACCAGTCTCAGTTCAGTGGAAATTTGTTTTGCTCGTGTGTATAGTGTGGTGACCGTGGATTTTAATTAATACCTGGATTCTGCAATGTGTTATCTGATGAACACTTGTATCACTTTAGAATCAAGAATGAAAGAGTAAGAAACTATAGTACACTTCTTACATCTTCAAATATTACATGACCGAATTTCCATTTGACTCGGAACTCAGAACCCACATTGTGACATTCTCATTCACAATCGAATCATACTGAACTGACATCATCATAATATTCATAGTCATAGACGTAATAGTCACATAGGACAGGATGAAGCTACAGAGTACTATGATGAATATGATTAATGATGAGTATGAAACTGATATTTCAGTAGCGTAGGCGTAAGCCTAGTTTGGGTAAATTTGGACTATAATATATATTAGGTAATCTACCACTTGAGCGTCGGCCAAGAAAAAATCCAGTTGTTCCGGTTGGAAGGGCTATTTAAACAACTATTCTTACATTGGAGTCTGTTAATATTTTTGCTTCCGTATAGAGACTATAAAGTTATATAGCACAATACTAATACATTTAAATAATTATTACTGCCAAGCTACCGATATGCCAGGAAGAAAAGGAGACTACAATTTTTTTTTTGGATCCAGATGACGCGGATGTCCACACAGAATGTGGAAAACGTGAATGCTCAAAAAGCGTAAACTGAAAAGACAGTTTGGCACAAGAAGCGCCGGTGATCTTTCCCCTTCATATTTACGTGGATTCATGTACCACAACCGTTTTCGTGGTAATTATATTTTTTAAAACTTCATTGTCAACTTGGGGGAGAACTATGCATAATTCCATTTTCACACATTATCTTCTATTTCAAAAAAAATGTTATAGTTTTTCTATTTAAAAAAAATTGTATATTATTATGGGAATGAATACGTACAACCAATGTCATTAAAAATAATATAAGAATAGTTGTTTAAATAGCCCTTCCAACCGGAACAGCTGGATTTTTTCTTGGCCGACGCTCAAGTGGTAGATTACCATATATTATATAACTTAAATCGGCGCCATGATGTCATGGATGTTTCACATGTTTTCATGTGTCCCCTTTCCAGACATAATTTCAACTGTTACATTTTCGTTTTCCTCAACTAAAGCACATGTGCGGCTTGATCACAGTTACACACTGTGGTCAAGGAAAATGTAAAAAAAACATACAAAATAATTAAATTAATGAAAACCCAACTTACAGTTTCATAGAATACACTTTTTACATGCTTTATTTCAAGTTCAGCCAAAACAAAATCCAAAAGTTGTAAAAAAAAAAATCAATGAAATACAATATTATAACCATTTTCCATAATGCCGGAAAATGTCAATATTATAATGAACCAACCAACCAACCAAAATTTTACCTTTTTTATCTTCATAATTCTATGATGGTTTGTAACTTGAACCATTATAAACATCTTTTCATACAGAAATAAAACTCTTATAAATCAAAGCAGATCTTCATTTGCCGTCACTGTCTTATGTTTTAAAAAGTCCCTATTCTTAAATTAAATTTCAATTGTTTCTTTTTGCAGTTAAATTCTAAGTACTAATTTGTTTACATCCAACTGCAAGTATCATGCTGTTGATATTGCAGGCTTTTCGATGTGATTGAATTTTGTTACTATTGTTAACTTGTATTAAATGCCTTTTAACACTTTTTTTAAAGTGCACTACTTTATTTATTTCTCACTGACAGGTTATCTTCAGCGTTCCAATGATAAAGCTAAAGTAGACAAATGGCTCTATCTATTGGTTTTAATTAACTCAGTTTTGTAGATAGGAAGCTGAGTTAATAGGTTTGGCTGAAAAGACATATAGTGACTAGATGTAAGTTGGCTTAGTTATAGGTAGAGTAATGAACAATTTCATTTTAACATATTGTTGTGTTATTTTTGAATGGATAATTAAATATATCATAATGTAAATAAGAGATAGAATTTTCCATAAAAGGGATCTCCAACACACAATAAATATTTCATACCTCATTACATGTTTTAAAAAAAACAACAATAGTTAGGTAATCTAAAACCTAAAACTATGCTGTATATTTTATGATTGTTTGTGTATTGTCAGGATCAGTATATTTATGCTCAAGAATTTTATTATGTTTCATATATGCACCTTCTTTTTTTCAACTTTTTTAACACTTTGACACTTGGTGATGCATCAAAGATAATTTTACAGTATTTTATTCTTGAACCTTCAATAAAGAAAACCATTCAGGCAGTGACTAGTATTTTAATGAATTAGGAACATCAACTACTGGTATTTCAGTTTTAAGTAAATGAGGGTCATCATTTTCCTATACATTTGTGAGTGAATTTTTTCTTCAAGCACATAAATTTTATTATGCTATACTATATGCTTTGCAACTTTGTCTCACTTTCTTTGGAATTTTGTTCAGATGTCTAAAAAATACAGCCGCAGTCTACTGCGTATATCTGTGGCTCAAATTTGTCAGAATTTGGGATGGCATTCTGCTCAAAGTTCTTCATTAGAGGTCCTTACTGATGTTTTAGAGAGGTACCTCCTGCAACTGGGAGGAACCTGTCACAGATATGCAGAGCAATGTGAGTTATAAATATTTGAAAACGATGTTATTTTAAACCACCAAACTCAAAATTATATCCTTTTTTAACAAAAAAATGAATGTTCATTCAATTATTCATAGCATTTTATTATGATAAAATTATGAACTGTGCATCTGTAAATAATATTTTTTAGTTGGCCGAACGCAAGCTAACCTGGATGATCTTGGCTTAGCCTTCCGACATATGGGCATCAATGTCTCAGAACTCGAAGATTATGTTCGTCACGTGGACCCTGTGCCGTTTGCCCATGAAGTTGTAGCATTTCCAGCTCCAAAACCTGCTGCAAATTTAGGGTTTCCAAATCCAAGGAGTAGAGAAATTTTGCAACATCGTGAAGAGCACATTCCAGACCACATGCCATATATGTTTCCAAATATGAAAGGTTTGTTATAAAAAAACAACAAAGGAGGCCAAAAGCTGTGTCAATTTTGTACTTTTAGAAAACTTTTAACTTTATTTTTCAAAATGATTAAAAGAAGCAACAATGTCTAACGCTGTCTCTAAAGCTATAAAAAGTAATTTATAGATAAAACAAATAAATCTATACAAGGAGCGCCATCCTGGGTTGTGTAGCTAATAGTTTAGATTTTTTCTTAGATGAAATTCCTGAAGATAAAACAATGGCCACTGTGAGCAGAGTGGACGTCTCTGATACAGCAGAGTCTGCCATTGAGGATAATAGGAATGAAGATCCTGGTGTCGGTGAGAAACGCAGTGCAGCGTCCATCCCTGCAGCAGAGATGCCTCCCAGTAAACGACCAAGGTAATTGATGGTGTGAGGACGAGTTTCATTTCATGGTCGTGCTTGGTAAAAAGCTACTAGCAATTTTTTATGTTTGATTTTATCTTTAAGGTCAATGATGATCATCACAATGGTGAAAACATTTGTTTTAAAACAATTTGTTTTGTTCGTAATTACAGATTTGGTAACTCAAATTTACCGGAAGAAGCCGGCCACTCTCAGTATGAAATGACATGTGTTTTTATGGGCCCAAATGGAGTTTTGACCACCAGGCAAGGAGTTCAAGGTCGACAGCCAGAGGCTCGTATGCCGCCACCAAACCCACGAATGTTGATAGAAAGTGCAAACAAAGAAAATTCTGGGAAATCCACCGAGCCTGGAGTCAGTACAAAAATGACAGTTGGTGTCGGAGGTATTGGCATTAATGGCTTGCCCAGCAGCAAGCATGAGGGTAAGAAGAGCAAAAAATCCCTGCACAAGAAAAGCTCACTGCATGACCAGGTGTCCAAAACTTCATCAGATGCTAGCAAAAAATCAGCAAGCAGCAAAGCAGCAGCAAAGTTTCTGAAAAAACTCAAAACTAGCAAAAAATCTGCTAAAGTATTTTCCAAATCAAAAGTCAAGGAGCCCAAGATACCCGATGCCCCTCACAGGGACAAAAATTCTCAGGAACCAGTGAAAAAACTACAAGATCCCTTGATTTCACCTCCTGTTGAGAAAGTTAAAAAGAGGAAGGAGAAGAAATCTGCAGCTCTTGTTGTAGACTCTGATGAAGAGCTGCGCAATCTCCCCTCTCCCACCTCATCGCGGAGGTCTTCCCCAGAACGACTTATTATCACAGATGGTGAAGATAATGCTAAAAAGAAAGCTATTTTAGAAGCCATTGATGATAGTATCAACTCAGTTCTGAGGGATGGCCCAGTAAAAGAGGAAAGGGAAAAAATCAGGAAGAAAAAGAAGAAAGAGAAAAAAGGAGACGATGGCACAGGACAAATAGTTGATTCGACAGATGGTAAATCCCATGATTCAAAAGCTAAGAGAAAGCCTGGGAGACCACCAAAGGTTACCAAAACCCCTGAGCTTCCCCCGCCCATAGACATCAAACCTTTTGTTTCTGAAAAATACTCCTCAGCCGAGCTGCTAGTATATGAGTTCAAGGACAGTCCACCTGATGCCAGCATGAAAGCCAGACGTCCCAGTGCTACAGAGACTGCATCGTCCGCGGCACCTCCACCACCACCCCCACCGGCACAGCCTCATGTTCCTCCACCAACAAAGCATGACCATCCTCCTGCACCGCCATCAAAACCTGCCCCCCACAGAGCCCCAAAGAAAATTGAGCCTGAAGATCAACTCTTTGCCCCTGAAATCAAGTTTGAGTCTCGCCCTGAGCCCTCGGAAGCTCTGAAGGACAAACTGAAGCAGAAGGTGAAAGAAGAAAAAAAAGTTGTTGAGGACAAAAATAAATTGAAGCACAAGGATGAGAAGGGGGATAGACACACAAAAAAGAAAGATGTGCAAAAAAAAAGCACCAAAGAACATATAAGAGAGGATAAAGAGAAGCAAAGGGTAATTATTAATATCACAGCGACCACTGTTTTTTTGTTGTTGTTTTGGTTATAAAAAAAAATGTATTTATGAAATAGCTGTGTGATTTTGGGTAGCCCTCTTGGGTTTTTTCTTCCTTTTTTAGTTTCTCTCATAGATTAATGTTTTGCCAAAATCAACTTGCCTTTTATAATATGTCAAAATTAAAGTTTTGAGATTCTTTTTCTTATAATTCAAACAAAGAAATATTTCTTACCAAAGACCACACCTAATCTAAAACGCAGTTTATATTTTTAATTTAAAAATAAAAAAAAATTTCACTCTGCATTTTGAGATGATCTGCCTTGAATGTGAAATTAGCTGTCTTAGCGTATACATGTTATTACTCATGTTTGCTTAAAATACCCAGCCAATAGATTTGACTCCATATATAAATTTCTTTTTTCTAGGAGAGAGACCACAAGAAAGAAAAAAGAGAGAAGAAAAAAGAAAAGGAGAGGAAAAAGAAGCATAAAGAAAAAGAGAGAGAGAGAGAAAAGGAGAGAAAGAAAAGGGAAGACAAGATCAAAGTAAGAGTTGTTTGACGTTAAATCAACTTTCTAAACATAGATAAACTTAGATTTGAACAATGGATAAGGAAATAAACATCTCGTTTTGAAATTCTGCTACAGATAATATTTTGTCATAATGTTTATGAAAACTACATTGTTCAATGTTTTATTATCACAGCAAGAGTTGCCACCTTCTAGAGAATCTTCTCCAGCCATTGGCATTGGTGTCAAACTTAAGATCAAGATTGGTGGCAGCACTGGTCCATCAGCTTCTGTGATGGTGACAGGAGATAGCAGTTCCCCAGCACCCTCGCCTGCTTCACTGACAGGTTCCAAGAGAGATTCTGTGTCACCACATAAAATCATACCAAAACTGTGAGTTTGCTTTTATTAAAGACTTTTATTTAATCCCTGCAGTCTAAAAATGCATTCCACCGATTTTAAAACTAGATTTAACTATTATTCTAAGAAAGTAATGCCTGCCTCATTAATAACATTTTAAAGATTGCCTGTTTGATAACAAATTGAGAACTCAAATGTTTGGGGGAAAAAATGTCATTGATCCAAAAATATATTAACATTGTTATTTCAAAATATTGTATTCTTACTATTCTATGTTGCAGCTTGAGTAGTAAGAACCCAATACTTTACAGCTTGAAAATTAAGAACACAATCTGTGACAGCCTGAATCAAAATACAGGAAAATAAAAAAAAAATATTTTGAACACAGCTTAAGAGACAAAAAAAGAATGAGAAAATTAGAACTTTGCTTGCAATCAACATGAATTAGTTTAGGAAAACTTACTATTTCATTCATTTCTGTTTAAACACAGTCCTTAATAGAATATCCTTATTTCAGAATAGAAATGCACAGTATGGACAATCATGATATTACTTTTGTAATACTAACAAAAGTATTTTTTTCTTATAACAAAATTTATTGTTTTGCATTTCATAAAATGCTAATCCACAAGTCATTTTAAATCTAGACATAATTGCAATTTTATATTTTTATAACTCAAAATAATAAATAGGACTACTACAATTTTCTTTTAAAAAAACTGTATACAGTGCAGATTAAATATATAAATAATAAAGGATTTTAAAAAGAATGAGCCAGTCACAAAACTCTTAAATCAAATTGTTTAGCCGCAGCTTCTATAATTAAGAAATAATTGACTTATTGTAAAAATTACTGTATTTTTTTACCTCTAAAAGATTTCTACAACTACACTTTTGCACAGGTACATTTCAAAGAGTGGACCAGAAGAGAAACCAAAGAAATCCACCAAGATCAGTCATGGAGACACACACAAGTCGTCCCCAATATCAGTTGTTACAAAATCAAGATCATCCTCACCCTCCAAAGCTTCACCTTCACCGCGCTCAACGCCAACTCCTCCAGTGCCCCGTAAAACCCCGACCCCACCTCCATTAACTAAATCACGTGCCACCAAAGAAACTATTCAAGGTCGTAAAAAAGAAACCGCCACACCCGTCCCTGGGAAAGAAAGAAAGAGCAGATCACCCATCAAAGGTGGAAGGAAAGGGAAGAAAAAGGAAAGGTTAGAAAGTCTGTCATCACTTTCACCAGACTCCTCTCCATCTCCAAAATCTTCCATTGTCCCAGGACGACAAACACCACCCAAACTTCAGAGAGTGTCTTCATCGTCATCTCCTGAAAAGTCACCACCGTCTCTACCGTTTCAGAGCCCCACGCCTTCTCCCAAAACAGTTTCAAGGGCCACCCGATCTCCGTCGCACACATCCTCCCCTCGTCGTTCGCCCTCTTCACCCCCTTCATTATCAAGACGCAAGCCCACGCCACCTCCCTCTCTATCTCCAGCTACTGTTCGACATCCGCGTAAACGCTCTCCTTCCCCCTCCCCGACCAAACCTCCTACTCCTGGGTCCACCTCCCCTGCACAGTCTCCTGAATTGAATCTCCCACTTTCGCCTGCTCACCACCGTTCACCGACCCCTACCCCGCGCACACCCACAGCTTCGCCCTCACGAAATATTCCTTCCCCCTCCCACTCCTCCCCTCCTGGTAGCCCCGGCTCCCCTCGAAGGTCACCCAGTCCTGCTGACCAACCAACATCGCGTCCAGGTTCCCGTATGGTCGAAACACCTGAACCAAAGTATCTCAAAGACAATCCGTCACCTGCATCATCTGGCAAATCTTCGACATCCACCTCCAAACAGGCAAGGACAGTCGAGGCAGAAACTGTCTGCGTGTTTATTGTAAGTGTTTTTAATTTTTATTTAATGGATTACTATATTAAATATCACTTCGTAAAGATAATTACAAATTAAATAAATTGATAATTTGTATGCATACCTTTTTTTATAGCATTGCACATTATTTTTTTAGTTTTCTCATTTGAATATAAAAATAATTTGAAAGTCATCTGCCATAAAGATGAGATAAATTTTCGTTTTCTTTACTTCTATATTGTATATTATATTTCTTTTTGGTCTTTAATTTCATTTTTTTAAATCCACTGTTTGTGGCTTACTTAAATTCCTTTTAAACTGTTTTTTAAAATTAAAATTAAATATCCTCCACCCCACTCCCACTCTCTTTGAATCCGATTAGGATGAAGCAGGTCAGAAAGTTTGGATCTGTCCAGGTTGTAAACTGCCAGATGATGGAACTGAGATGATTGGATGTGATATGTGTGATAATTGGTACCATTGGTATGTATTTTATTGCATACATAGGTACGTTTCTTACACATATCCTTTTGGACAACTGGTGTGATTTGTAAATAAATAAAATGTACGAACAATAGGGGCATTTCTGTGTGCCATGCCACTTTGACAGAATCTAAAATTTACCTCATATGAACTTTATTTCCACACAAGAAATATTCTTCTTCTTCTATATCTTAAGGGCCCACGATCAATTTATTGATCATTTTTGCTCCTATGCATGTAGATGGGATTTGCAATGTTTCTGTTACTGGTGGTGATGAGGAAATTATGCACTTGGAGTTTGAAGGCTTGAGGCAATAGACACAAATGTGTATGTGTTGTCGCCTCAACTGTTCCTTTTGAAAGATGGTTCCAGTCCCTGATTGTCTTGGGCAGGAATGAGCAGCTCCTATACTGGCTTCTTGCTGGTATGAGCCTGAATTGCCTGTCATGGCCTCGTTGCTGTCTATGGGGGAGAGGGACGAGTTTCTGTTTAATACTGGAACAGTGGACCAGCCCATTATTTATCTTGTACATTATGGAGAGCCTGGATTGTCGTCATGAAACAAAATAACATCAGTTACCCCCAATAATAAGCCCACTTTCACTTTGAAACACTGGCTAATGTTTTTAAAAAGGATTATTTAAAATTAAATAAATAATAAGTGCATGCAAAATGCAATCAGTTTTTGAAAATGTGAACAAATGAGTGAATCAAGAAACAAGCCCTTTTTCTGGTTATTAAACATTTAAATAGTGCCAACCATTACGTAATATTAGACATTGCAGTTACCCGTATATTGTATGCAAGTAATACACCAGATAGAATTTAAATGGTAAATAAATTAATAATAAGATTTGGTATGTTGACCCCAAACAGTATAAATAAACCATGTTCACAATTTTACTTAGCTGCAATGTCTTTTTCCTGTTTGGTTTTTAAATTTTACTTCCACCCTATTTTTTACCGCTCTTTCGAGCTTTGTTTTCATTTGGGACTTGTGCTCATTCTTATTGTTTTCTTTCATTTTTACATAGGATACGCATAGATATATTATGTAAATTTAATTTATACTTGTATGATAATATGAATGTTTTTTGTTGTACTGAAGAAGGCATTTGGCGAAACTTTTGCATTTATATTTTGTGTAACCATAATTAAAGCTTAACCTATATTGTTTTATTTACACAATTGTTTGTGTCTCATTGGTGAACAAATGATATTTTTCTTAATAAAATCACAAAAGTTAAAACTTGTTACGACGCCAGCAAAATTTTACTCTGTGGGGTGTAGTTCCAACAAGTATTGCTTGTATTTTCCCACCATGGACATGTGTTAATGTTACTGAATGAAAAAAGCCTTCTGTTATATAATAAGTAAGTAATAGATGATTCAGAGCAATTTCTGTTTTATTTTCAGGCCTTGTGTTGGGATCACTGAGGCTCCACCTGAGTCTCAAAACTGGTACTGCAAGAAATGTTTGCCTAAGACCAAATCATCATCACGAGGAAGGGGTAGACCAAGAGGGCGTGGCAGAGGAAGGGGGAAGAAGAAAATTATGTGATGAGGCTTTGTTTTGTTTTTGACAAGGTGTACATATTTTATTTTAGTTTACTGAAAGCTGTCAATTTCTTGTTGTCAACTTAAAAAAATCCAATGCAGTTCAACATATACAGTATAACAATCTCTGTTCGACTTGTAGTCAATGATATAAATAATAATTTAAAGATGACATGAGACAAATAATTTGAATAAACTTTTTTCTAAATATAACATTTAATGGACAGCTATGACTCCAGTGACAATATGGTCTATGTAGGGATCAACAATTGCTTAACAGATGCTCTGTTATTTCCCCAACCTATGAGCTTCGCAAGTTAATATTTTTAAGTTTCTACTACAACTTTATGAACTGTAATATATTTTTTTTTTTTTTTTTGCACGCCCCATTAACGCATGAAAGTGTTTGATGTTTCCTCGGTTTTGCTTAAATTTTAAACTTTGACACAATGGATAAAATCAATGTGTTCAAATGTTTAGTATGAATATTTTTTTCATTGCATCTTGCAAGTTAATATTTTTAAGTTTCTACTACAACTTTATGAACTGTAATATATTTTTTTTTTTTTTTGCACGCCACATTAACGCATGAAAGTGTTTGATGTGTCCTCGGTTTTGCTTAAATTATAAACTTTGACACAATGGATAAAATCAATGTGTTCAAATGTTTAGTATGAATATTGTGTACATTGCATCTGTAATAAAATTTCTTTTACTCTTAGCACTATTGATGCTTGAAAAAATTATTGTGATTTTGTTCAAAGAATTTGCTTCAAAAGAATATTTCCTTCTTTTATTCCAAAGTTATTCTACTTATAAAAAATCAATTAATGATTTAAATGAAGTTGTGCAAGACTATCAGAATTGAAAAGCTCTAACTTAGCCATTGGATTTTCTCTATGCAGATAGATGGATATCTGCATTAGATTTGGGTCTTTGATTGTTGTATTAATTTCCAGTCAGGATTAAGAACGTCTTAATTTAAGTTAGTTTCTGGTTAAATCTTAACTTTTAGCATCATTTCTAAAAAAACTTATCTCATTTTACATATAAGCTCATATTTTCTAAAAAGGTACTGTATTATACAATTGAAAATAAATTACCTGTAGACAGAGGATGTTTTGTAAACTAATTTTCCCTTCAAAAATCAGTATGATCTAACACATGAAGCAGAGATTTCCTCGTGATCTCAAATGCACACATTTCATCAAATTTATGCCAAAATTATATTGAAAACTATCTTTCAAATCTTAAGATTGTTCACCTGAAATAGCTTGTTTTCATGCCTTTCATTACATATTAGTTAACTGTAAGTCATCTTGATAGTTTTGTTGTGTCATTGATAGAAATGCATCATTTTAAAATATAATATACTATTTTTAGCAGATGATATTAGCAACAGAAATCAGTCTCTGACTAGCATGTCATAGTGTGGTACCTTATGTCTAATATCATTAATAAATTAAAAGTTATTTATGCATTATTCATGACAAATTCTTACCTCCGGCATAGAGTTACTTGCAGCAAGACTCAGGAGTCGATATCAGCGTCACTTAAACACAGCAAGCTTCAAGAAATTGTGTTGCTGCCGTATCTTTATCATCTCATGTCATGTTTGTTAATCCTTTACCGTAAAATTTATGTTGATGGTTTCAGCTAACCCTATTGCACTTTCATGTTTGAAAGTGTCCCGATCCCTGTGTAAAATTGTGTAAGTTTGTAAATATTGAACTGATCCAAGGGTGATGTGCAAAATGATTGTAGATATATACATATTAGTTTGAATGAAAAATACAATAGACTTTCTTTTTAACCGTTAATGTTTGTTTTCTAATTTTAATGTTTATTGTTTTTTTAAACACTGCTTGAGTTGTCATTTATTAATAGTATGAGACTCGAAGCTGCTGATCAGCAATAGTAGTGTCTGCAGTTTACTTCCAGTGCAAAGCTGCTGGTTAATCTGAAACTTTTGCACGAAATACATTTAAAGAGTTATTAAATCCATTGTCAAATTTCAAGTCTCATTTTCATCCCAAATGAATTTTTCTTTAATTATTTGTTTATTTCATTTTGGTTATTTGTTACTATTCTAGTTCTAAAATGCACTAAAAATACTTTGAAAGACCTTGAATCTCCATTAAGTTTGTTATTTGTGTAGATTTACATCAGAACTTAAACCAATTTTCACTACGCTGAAAAAAATAAAAACTCACCATTCTATCAATTCATTTCTAAAAGTCAGATTAGTTAATAACTTCAATTAAAATGTTTGCCCTTCCATTGAATAAAATATGCATCCAGTTATTTTTAATGCATCTTCAAAAACTGATTTTACATTTTTATTTTAACTCCAAAATTCCAAAAAAAAAAAAAAAGTTGTCAAAATTATTATATATATATTTTTTTGTAGAAACAGCTTGCTTGTGGTTTTTAAATTTGTTTTGGTGATTCCTTTTGTTAAATCAATAGCAACATGTTTTAGTTTTTCCCTAACATTAAAAAGTGAAAGTAAGTCATCTGGTAATGATTTTAAAATAATAAAAAAATATGCATAATTGACAAATTTGAAAGTGCTCATTGAGATTGTCTGGAGGTGATGTTTTTGAAAATTTCATTTCATTTATGACTAAGAGCGAGACATTTGCAAGCTTTGAAACATTGTTTAATTTAATGTAAGCCTCAAGCAGTATTATTATGAAATAAAAACAGTTATAGTTATTGATTTCAGAAAAGTTTTTTTTTTTTTTTGTGTGTGCACAACTACTGGAGATTTAATATCAGGTCTCCAAATATATTTTCATTCTCCACATTTTCATCACTCGTCATTTTCTTAATTTCACATTAGCCAACAAACATGGTTTTTCTTTTAGCAGCATACAAAAATGTTCCATTTGATAAATTGCTTGCAACCAGTGTTGATTAAATAGTCTTTAGGAATGTTCTTTACCTAGCTCATCCAAATATGTAGCAATGTAAGATTTCAGTGACCTATTCAAATAAACAACTTCCAGGGGGAATGTCGTTGAATGTTTAAAAAATTTTAATTTCTTAAAGTAGATGCAACTTTTTTCTTTGCTGCAAAATAAATGCTTTTAATAAGGAAAACTAAAATCAAATCCATTTTAAAAAAATTTTTGGTGGTTTTTTTTTTCTTTTCAAATTCAGTAGTTTTTAACATTTTATTCAAGTCAATGTTTCTTAGTTTGTGAATCCGTAACAAAGTCACTTGTTAGTAAAGATGAGTTTAAACCTTAGATATGAATGTTTTAAAAGAGTCAATAGTTACCAATAGTTACCAGAAATATTTTGTAAGCTATGGCTGTTTTTTTTTTTTTTTTTATTTTTTTGTAATTTTTTTGTTGTTCCCCCCCCCCCCCCCAAGATTAATAGTGATGAAAAAATGTCTAAAATTCAAAATGGGCACCTGAGGCCCAATAAAGAAAAATGCAGTGATAAACCCCAACAAGTGGTTACTTGAGATTTAAATTGGCTGCGAATATTTGCAACCGGGTACTAGAAGTGAGAGGTTGGATTAAAAAAAACTTTTCGGTTTAACTAAAATAAACTACCACAAATGACATCTGAATAGCTTGAGTCTAATGGTACCCGGGTGCATCCATTTTGACTTGGTGCTATTCAGATGTCATTTGTGGTAGGTTATTTTAGTTAAACTGAAGAATTAAGTTTACAAGCATATATTCCATTCAATTATCTTTCATTTGATACCTTATTTTGTCTTACAAACCCAACAATAAAATTTTAAATAGTTTTTTAATCCCAACCTCTCACTTCTGGTACCCGGGTACAAATAGCGACTTCGAATAAAATTTGTGGTGAAAAATATTTTTTTTTTATTTTTAAAATTTTAATTCTTCTTTTTATATATATTAAGGGTCCACGATCAATGTATTGATCATTCTGGCTCCTATGATTATTACTAAATTTCATTCCATGAAAATGAGAGCAATTTAATCTTGTTAATTACCATGTTTAGCCTTGGCAGGTTGTTTATATTACTTGAGATTATTCATACAGTTCATTACTCAAGTATTTGTCTTTTAATGTAATGTATCTTATTTTATGTGCTGTAATGTATCCTTCGATGCAATAATCATTAATGACTTAAGGATAAATATTACTGCACCTTGGTTTAAATTAGGCCCACAAATCAAGCTCGGGTGAAATACATTTGAATTAAATGTTGATAACACTGACTAGGAAAAAAAATATCATACTGATAAAGAAACATACTACTAGTGTTAAGTCTTTCAGGGATATTGTTGTTTCAGTAATATATAGCTGATCAACATTTATTTGTAATTCACATTTGAACACAGCATCATGCAATTTAATTAATTTTTAAACAAAATATTTCTATCCTTTGCTTAAAGAAAGCGTATAATAAAAAAATTGTAATTGAAATCCCCAAATGATATTGTGGAAGCATACAACTGTACCATTAACTTTTTAAAACATCTTTTTTTCTTTCTCAGCAGATTCTTAAGGCAGCTAGCCTTAAGTCTATTTGAGCTTGCATTGTGCTTCATACAATGATATCTTACATTACAATTGTATTGTGCTTCATCAAATGACATTTCACATTATTGATCATTAATGATGTTTACAGCTGTTTTATTACAGTAGGTATAATTGTTTAGCCTTTTTTTTACAATTAGACATGCATGTGTAATTAAATGAACTACAATTTTGCTGTGCACATTTTTGTTCTTAAAAAATGTCAACAAAAATAAATGTTTTGGTCTATGCGTGTATTAGCATATGATATGAAGTCACAGTTCAGCTTATTTTTATTTATATTATTTTTTAAAGATAAATATTTATTAACTTAATTTTCAGAGCACATAACTTTCTTGACTGGTCTAAAAATCTGAAATTCTTTTGATTCTGAATACATGTGCACTCTACTGTATGCACTGAAAGGTCTGGCTACTGACTTATTCCAACAATCACTGGAGATTCTAGATTATTAGAAGTTTTATTTCACATAGCCAATTTTCAAAGAAAAAATTAAATGTTTTAAAATGTTCATGCCCAATAATTATTTTTATGACAATTTATAATTTGGTATTTTGTTGAATTCATTAAAGCTTCTGTGTCATGGTTTCAAATTTGTTTCTCATCTTTAAGCAGTGATTTTTATGTTTAATCATTTTTTTCACCAAGTGTTTGTTTTCTCAATTTTCATTATACAGAAGACTATTTAAATAGCAATTTACAGGTTTTTAAAAGTTTACACTCTGTTTTTCTTGGTTTGACCACACATAATTATCTAACCAAATATATGCATTTATTTTTATAAAGATTATTTTGCTGCACACGTTTTTAGTATTCTAAAATACACGGTGGACATGTAATCCTGAAAAATTAATGAAGCCAACTTGATCAATAATTTACTTTTAAACTAAGCAAATGTCAAATAAGAGCTAGCACTAGCAGAAAATAGTTATGTGAAGACAGTGCTTCTGGTGTTACACGGGTAATATAAAAAGACCTACATATTGTCTGGCTAAAATAAAGTAGGACCTTATTTTTTTTAAAATGGTATACCAGTGTCAGTGCCAAAATAGACACAAGAGGATTTTGCTGCCAAATGATTTCTTCAATTTTATTATTTTAATTTACAGCTGTTGGGGTGAAGATATTTTAACCAAACAGAGCCATCCTTGGGTCTGAGGATATGACAATGCCAAATTCGGTGGCATACCCCCATTTTAATTTCCATAGAGAAAAAAAATATTTGTTTTAGACTATTTAGTAATAACAGAAATTATTAAAACATGGGTAGTCATCTAATTAGTTGTTTTTAAATCCAGAGATAACCTACTTTCATATTAAAAAAAATAATTATTATTACAGTGCACCCAAGTGAAATTGATAGAAATTTTGATCTTCTGAGTGATTTCAGAAATAAAATAATGTCATCTAAAAACTACATCAAAATACCAAACACATACTGCAGTTATACTATGAAATTTATGAAATTATTTTCACAAGTTTGTTTTGCTTATCTGAATTTTTTTTCTTTCTGGTAAATTACAGCATTTCTGGCATTGTATCATATTTATCCCCTGGATGGCCCAATACATCCTACAGAATCCTGCAAGTTAGGGTCCATAGTCAGCATATGGAGAAATGTACTATGTACCACACAACCGAACTTATTGTTCAGTGGCTAACACGTAAAAATTAATTTGAAAATATATTCTTGAACCTTGTAACTATAACAATTAAAGTGCATTTTTCTGTAGTGTCAAGCCATTTTTAGCATTTTCATATGCTTATAAAAAAATTACAAAATTTCTGTCACAAAATGAGTTCAAAAATTCCTCTTCAATTGAAGTTGTTAAACCCATTTTTATAAATTTATAATTCAGAACATACACAAACATAATGTCTTTGAATATCTTTTGAGATCCAATCTTTGTATTTTCTGTTTGATTTTCACCCTTTCCCAAATAAATTAGTAACAATATGACTAAGCTTAGGACAACAATTTTCAATATGTCGTGTCTTTTATGTTGCCAGCACAGCTAGAACTGTCATGTGCCAGCACAGCTTGAACTGTCATGTCATTACTAGCACATGGAATATCTCTGATATCATTGCTTTTATTTTAATCCATTTTAAATAATTTCAATAAAGAAAGTCTGTTCTGATTTTGAAATCTACAGGGGGACCATCTCAAGTATCAGTTAAACATAATGGCAGTAAAAAAATTGAGTTAATTTCACACCCACTTTATCGCACACAAAAAAGAAAAAATCCCTTAACATAAAGATAGCAATGGAAATAGTAAAGTTATAATTTCCCCTTTAACAAAAACAGCAAGAAACCTATTCAACACATGGGAAAGAAAAAGTTCTCAAACAAATGATGAATATGGATGGGGAATACGAACCAACCATGAATTGTAGTCTTATATCAGGAGCAGAAATAAAAAAGGGTCTTCTACTAGCATTGCTACGCTGGGCAGGACACTTAGG